TCTTCTTCAATTGTTTCAGTCACTTTGGTTGCTTCGGTCGCTTCGGTCGCTTCAGTTACTTTGGTCGCTTCGGTCACTTCACTTGGCAGATTATCGGTGGTTGGTGAACAGGCTTCGTTGTCGCTTACAGTTGATTCTTCCAATTCTTGCGAAAAATCTTCATTATCGTCCTGAGATCGAATAGGAACTGCAATGTGAATTCTTTTATATTGTCGTTCAGATATTTCAATGTCACTACGTTTTCACTTGCTTAGTATGTCACCATGCAATTGGCTCATTGCTAGCACTTTTTCATACTTAAAATAAAGAATTTAAATTAATACTATATACTATAAAAAATTAAAATAAATAAATATTTGTACATACCGATAAACGATTTCGGCAGTTCATATGCAAAAAACCTATAGTTGACCATAACCTTTCAACTGAAGCCGAATTAACACATATTCCAAATAATTGTAAGGCTAGACAAGACAATTCTGGCACAACACCCTTTGCTGAATCCCAAAAATCAATAATATTTTCATCAAACTGGTTGTAAGTCTCTTTATTAAAAGGAAATGCTTCTCTCTGATATAACCAAAATTCACGTAAAATGTGTGTTGGTACTTCCTCGAACCATACATAATAATAATAATACAACCATTGACTAAAATGTGTATAGAAAAGGCTGGAAACGCAAGAAGAAAACTTGGAGAGCCGATATTTCAGATGTAAAACAAATGATAGTAAGAGTAGTGGCTGTTCCTATTAAGCCCACCGATTTTCTAATCGGGCGACCATATGATCTGCAAAATTTTCATCTTTAAGGTTAGAAAAAACCTTAATAAGCCATCCAAAACAATTTACGATCTCGTACAGTCTTGTAACATCTTTCTGGAGTTTATTTAGTGCACAACACAAAGGATATAGCAAATCCTGAAGTTCATAAAGTTGACTCCAAAAATTGGAATTTTGTATGATTGAAATAATATCAGGTGGAAGCATTTTGCTTGTATTAGAATTTCCTGTCATAAATCATTGCCGCGAAAGTCCACTCCGGGAAATACTAGCTAATTCGATTCTAGTAAGTGAAAATTTTGTTGCCAATGTCTAATTAAATAAAATTTTTATTAGAATCTTTTAATGTTTCATAATTGGTGCCAAAATTTTCTTTGTAAAAAATTTTAATTTAAATATACTACCTTAAGCGCAGCCTCAGTTTTCAATATAGAATGAAAACAAAAGTAAATGCTGTTCCAACGTGCTTGGCTGGGGAAATAAGAGAGATGGTTTGTCTATAACATGACTTTTGCTCATCTCGTAGTAATCTGGTAAAATAGGAAGATGAATGAAAATAGCTTACAACGCGTATTGCGTTTTCAATATTCTCTTATATGCATCAGATTCTTTGAAAATATCGCCAACAACTAAGTTTATTTGATGCGCCATACAAGGTATAAAAACCTTATTAGGATATTCGATTCTTAGTTGTCGTCTATAGAAAAAAAGTTCATAACATTTATTAAAAAATAATCCTGATCCATATATAAATATAAGTACATTAATATATATTAAAACGTACCTTGCCGCCGCATACTCGCCAGCTGAATCTGATATGTAGCAGTTAATTTGAATGCCTTCCTTTTCTGCATTATTCATTATACTTTTAATAAGAATTTTTACATTTTTGGTTTTTGACCGTTGATTACTGATATTACGTGCGTTCCAAATTAAAGGTACACCCTGAGAAGTAATTAAGACAACACCAAAAAGGTGCTCCTGATTTATATTTGTCCAACCATCGAAGACTGCAGTTACACCAACCCCATCTGCACATGCATGTTCTAAAATGTCTTCATTTAATTTTGTTGAAACCTTTAGGAGAATTCGATTACTTATCGCCTGCCGATTAGGTAGTTTTATAGTTGGCATTATAAAATTAAAAAGATCTTTTGTTTCTTGGTTTTCCATAAAAGTAAAAGAAAGACCATTTGATACGAT